ACCCCTTCCTAAAAAAGGTAACAATTAAAGCAATAATAATATAATATTTAATATATCTCTCTGAACTAACTTATTTTCAGACCATGCCTTGGGGACCATATTCAATATTACAAACTGATCCTCGACTGTCGAACGATGGTCCAATTCTATGGATACGTTCCGGCGAACAATTGGTGCCTACAGCTGAGCTGAATAGCAAAACACCATTAAAGCGTCAGAGGTAACTTAATGAGATTTATGAAATTTCGTGTCAATAAAGTTTTGCCTTTCAGGACACGAATTAATGAATTACGAAATTTGCAATACTTACCACGTCTATCGGAGGCTCGTGAAACAATGATAGAAGATCGCACTAAAGCTCATGCAGATCATGTGGGCCATGGGCATGAACGCATTACAACTGCAGCTGTTGGTAAGTTTGGATGCGTATTATCTGTCACGCCGTTGACTTATTTTCGGATCTTCAGCAACAACTGCATCTGATTATTATTGTTTATATTACCATTTTAGGTATACTCAAAGCCGTCCATGGAGGCGAATCTTATACCCAGAATCGCATTACCAAAGATGTGGTGGCATTTGCAGCTCAAGATTTAACCAACTTGTGGGAACATTGCAATTAGATTTGCACGAGCCTCCAATTTCACAATGCGTACAGTGGATTGAAGACGCCAAACTAAACCAGCTACGTCGTGATGGCATACGCTATGCTCGCATTAAATTGTGTGACAATGATATATATTTTTGCCACGCAATATTATTCACCAGTTTCGAACTGTGACGGCTGTAACCAGTGTTGGTAAATAGATTGAAATCTAAGCAAACTATTTTTAGCTATAGCATATTTTTTCTTATTTCTATAGCATGGCACTTGAGGTTACGTCAGTATTATCCGGGTCAAGAGGTCATCAATGAAAAGAACAACCCAGTATTGGCAGAACCTCCACAATACAAAGAGAAGCAGACAATTCTACCAAATCCCATTTCTCATGATGACAGTCACACGAAAAAGACCCCCTGCAAACGTAATCATGAGGGTAAAGCTAAAAAATCAGAAACGAAGAAGCTTATTGACATGGAAAGTCGTAGTCGCCTGTCCAGTGAGAGTGGAACCGATGACTCTACCACCGCTGTAAAAGATGATCCAGAAACTCCAACAAAAAAGAAACAGTCAACGAAAGAGGAACCCAAATTGATATGCGGAAAATGGTAATTGAACATAATATGATAAACAAAGTAGTTGGAACAATAGCACCATCACCAAACAAGACAGAGAAGCCGAAAAAATCAAAGACAAATGATGGTGAACATGCGAAGGAGAAGAAGGAGAAACGTAAACATAAAGATGAAGGTAGTACTGCAAAATCGACTAAAACTTCTTCGCTGACTCCCAAGAAGCACAAAACTTCCGCCGATGTGGCAACAAGTAGTGAAACAACCTCAACAAAAAATCTGTCCACCACCACTGTGGTGCCTATGGCAAATTCCAGTAATCTACCCAGTAATAAGGTTAAACTTCCAGAACCAATAGTGCCTGCATTACCTATGCCTCTAGTACCTCCCACGCCGTTCACACACCGAGAGGCTTATGTGAATAGCCTAAATCAAAAAGAACCAGAAATAAAAATACAAGTACAAATAGTTTCCGATGAACCTCCTCCTCCACAAGTTTCCACATCAGCATCATCAACCCATCTAAGCAGCTTTCAACAACCTCAACCTGCAAATAGCGCAGCACCATCTTCCCAATTGCCGAATATTGTTTCTACATCTACCTCCACCACAATTCAAGTTACTACCATAACTTCCCCTCCATCACCAACACCTGCTCCTCCAAACAATATAATAAGCGTTGAAGAAGCCCTTGTACCTCCCCATACAGCAGAGAGCATAGTTGACGATATCATACTATCACAACCTCAGTTGGTAGTAGACCATGAGGAGGAAGTGATCATATCAGAAGAAATTGAAACCACCACAACGCCAATGACAACAGTGGCGTGTTCCAATCAAACCTATCCACCGTTACCACCCTTACCTCCCTTGCCACCACTACCACCACCGCCTCCCACACACACTCCACAGCCTCCGCCACCTCCACCCCCTACACACAGCACAGATGCAAAAGCCATCAAGATATCAAAAGTCTCTTCATCAAGTAGCTCTTCATCAGGAACCCCTTCGAAATCTCAGAAAAGTGCTTCAAAAGTTTCCTCCAATAAGCACAATAAATCTTCGGCGGATCTCATAAGTTCCATATTGGCGTGCATGGATAGTCGAACAACAAGCAGTTCAACTAGTGGCACCAATTCATCAAGTAGCAGCAGTACTTCATCATCTTCGTCCATAAGTTATACATCTTCCTTGCATTGAGTTGCCATCGATCCGGCCAAAGGGAACGAAATATTTTTTGAGTTAATTGTAAATTTTGTTAGGACTACATTTTGAACTTCAATGGGCATACATCATCATCATCATCTCAATTGAAAAGTTATGTATAATTGAGACAAGATTAAGATTGGTTTTTATTCGCCAACTTTTGGTGGAAAAAGAATCTTTAGTTTAGCCATAACTTTCCAAATACTTTTGGAAGGGTAATTCATTTCGAATTCAATATAAATATTATATTGTGTTCGCATTGTCTGAACTAGAACTGTTCCATATTCCTTTGTTTTCCTCAGATCCTATAAAACATTTTGTAGTTTTTACTGTTTATAGAATTATGTATGTACATAAATATATATTTTAGACATATTGTATTTTATCTCAAGTTTATGCTTCACTAACATGATCCTAATCATTCTTTTCATTTCCTGTCCAACTATTAAATTTGTTCATATTTATTTTATGGTATATACGTTGGATAAGCAACATATTAACTAAACACTTTTATTTATTAAAACTCGTTTCCTTTTTATCGATTTCTAATTACTCAAACATTAGATCTTGTAATCCAATATACTTTGAAGTCATCTTATCACAGTTATTTGTTCAAAGCTATACGCATACACACCCATAACATCAACAACATGGCACATTTCTTTTAATATGTGTTAAAATTTTGTATAACAATGTACACTTATATAATTATACATAATAGGTCCATAAAGTTATAAACAATATAAATACGTTATATATTTGTATGGTTCAGATATCAGTTAGCAAAATCGCTTGTTGTCGATGTGTGGGTGCATGCATCCATCCTCGCTCACTGTGTTGGATTTTTTTAAACACACTCAGATATATTTTGCACTTTTCAAACATACAAACAAATCAGCCAGCAAAACAAAAAATCAAATCAAACTTTTATTATTTACCAATAAGACAATGAATGGATAGCAGAACAAATATGTATGTAAGTGAATACATATATATATCGCAGAGAAACAGATAAAAAAACAATAACATCAATTTGAAGCACACGATATATAACATAAATATATATATATATATTATCTCACTGTCAAAACAAGAAGAGATATAAGTGAGAATTAAACGGCATAGCGTATAATACACAAACATATTTAAGAAGTAGTCTTAAGACCATAAATAAATAAATAATCATACTGTAGTTGTAATTTTGGCTGTTTGATTTAACCAACGGAATTCCTGACCATTAACCAGAATTTAAATTCAACCACAATGTATGGGGTGAGATAAAAAAAAACTGCAACAAAGTCAAACGCCATAATTTTTACATTTTTTTTTAATTTTATTGAATGAAAGCAAAAAATAGCATCAAATCGGTCAACCTTGGCACGAGTTATGGTCTTCAAACGGCCAATGAAACCGTCACACGCTGCCCGAATGTTGCTCAGCGGTATTTTGGCCCATTCCCGGCTAAGCGCTTGCTTGAGGTGATCGACACTTTGGTATTTTTTAGTGCCAGCTTTGCTTTCCAAAATATTCAATAGTCCAACAGACTGGTATTCGGCGATTTTGGTGGCCATGTGCGTTGGAAATAAAGCGAGGAACCGCATTTTGTAACCATTCTTGGTGGCGCGTGCTGAGTGCGATGGTGCTGAGTTCCGTTGGAATGTCCAAGGTCTGCGGCCAAAATTTTGCATGTCCAAGGCTTTAATACACCCTCCAGAAAATTTTCGCGATAATATTCGGCATTATTCTGAGCCAGGGTCGATTAATAAATTAGTTCACCACTTTCGGTCAAGCGAAGCAACTCTTTAGCACTTTTTAGACTATTTTCACTGCGACGCGGGTTTGATCAAGTCGCTTCCTTAATTTTGGAACCATTCCTGATGATGCTGCTGTTTTTCTTCCGTCCACTCGGGCTACGCTACCAGTATCACGGTGATACGAGACACAAAAGATTTATTTCACATTTAAATGCTGGATTGCTCTAACAATAGCCACTTGTAAAGACAAACACACTATCACGCTTAAATTCCATCACGAAAATTTTTTCTGGGAAAATTCTCACCAAAATGCTTTTGTACGCTTGTAAACAATATATGAGCTGTCACTGAATAATTTTAACAGGTGGTGCATAGCTGTTTATTACGTAGCATGCAGTTTAGTTATTTAAAAAGAGTCACAAATTGTTTTCTACATTATAAAAAGTTTATTTAACAAAAATAAAATGTAATATTCACAATATATCTTATTACTAAATACATACAATCACCTCGTTCTCTTTCATTTTTATTTCCATACATGGACTTCATACAAATAACATTTACTCAATATTTACAATTTTGCACGCAAGGTTTCGAAACGGCTTTGAGCGGCGCTTGAATGTTCATCAGTTTCATGGCTACGCCCATGTTTCCTTGGATTTTAATTTTGCCCTGGAAGAAGCCTTTTGGGGTGGCAAATTACCAGTCATCAATTCGGTGACATCCTCGTCGGAAACTATGAATGTAACGTCACATTTTTCTTGCCATTATAGGTGATTTTGCCTTTGCCTTCCTTGGCATTAATAACCAGAATCCGGTTTTGCCACCTGGGCCATTAGTGACCTTAAATCCATAAATTGCACGTGCCTTTTCGATAAGATTTTCTTCGTCTTTTGCATTTCTTCATCCAACAACTTCAAGAGTGGTGTAACCTTGAATCCTTCTCCAGTGGGATGGGTTGCAGCAGAAGTCAAATTATTAACGACACCAGCTGATTTGGGAAACCCAAACGATAGAGAGTAACAACTACAGCACCACCCAGACCCAAATTTGTTGCAAGGCCAATTGACATCCTTGACTTGACGTTTTTCAGCCAAACCACGCAATTGCCAGCACAATTCGGCCACTGGGCCAAAACCGGTTGCACCCAAAGGATGGCCCTTTGAGATAAGACCACCACTGGGATTGACAACGTATTTGCCACCATAGGTATTATCACCACGATCAATGAGTTCGCCTGCACCACCTTCGGGGCAAAGACCCAAAGCTTCATAGGTAATCAATTCATTGGCTGAGAAGCAATCATGCAATTCAACAACCTGAACATCAGTGGGCTTGTAGCCAGATTTGGCGAACAAACGTTGAGCAGCCATTTTGTCATGTCATACCGGCAATTTCATGAGAGATTTATCTTTGAAAGTTGATCAGGATCTGAGGCCATTTCCATGCCAACGATTTCACGGCTGGGTTTCTAAACCAAAACGATGAACATAGGCTTCGGAAACAAAATTGCAGCACCAGCACCATCTGAAGTAGGGCAGCATTGCAATTTGGTAAGAATACCTCGACCACAAACAGGTGATTGCATAATTTGCTCCAAAGAGTATTCATCACGGAATTGGGAATAGCTAGAAAGGATTAGAAAGAATACATTAGAAATGCAAATTTATTTCTAGGTTTATTAAATTGGAATTTGTGTAGTCAGGGAATGTTTGCGATAAGATAAGCTAACATGATATGAATGTGTAGAAAGACCTTTATAATGAACTGATGTGGAATTTGTATTGCCATAAACGAAAAATAAATATACTTACGGGTTGTGACGGAGTGCTTGTGGTTCTTCCAGGCAATTTTACCGAAATGTCGGGTTTGGTGCCATATTTTTCATATGTTCCTTGCCAGCGTTGCCGAAAATTTGAGCAGCCATTGGTCCAGGTCCAATTTCAGCTAATTCGGACATTTCATAATGTCGTTCCATGGGATTGGCACGATCAAAGTACTGAAATGTATAAATTATTAGTAGTAGATGCCTAACAAGGAATACATGATGTACACTGAATACATTTTGGACATTTGGTAAGAAAAATAATTGGATACTAGATTAGACGCATTGAAATAATTTAAAAACCTTGCTGACAGAA